TGAGTCGATCAAATCTTTCTCCACTGCAGTTTCCTTCCCCTCCTCGTCCCTCCTTCCCTCCTCCTTCCGCTTCTTTCCTCTCTTCTTTTCCTTACCACTCCTCTTTTCTCCCTCACTTCTCCCGTCCTCACCTCCCCCAGAAACCGCCTTCTCACCGCCCCCAGGTACCACCCACCCCAGGGCTGGGAACGGGGAGGTGGGATCCGGGGGAGGGTAGTTCGCAACGGGAAGGGCATGAAACTGAGGAGAGGCATAGGCTGGGTGCTGCGCGAGCAGTGGAGTGCGGTGCTGAGGAGTGGATTCAGTGTGTGGCGTAAGCGGTAGCTTGCGGTTGATTCGGCATACCCTGGTGTGTCAAAAGGTGGGAAGACGAGAAGGAATGTGGACATTGATGTTTTAAGGCGTTTCAAAACACGATCAACATCACTCAATTCGGAATACCCTGGAGAGTGAAAAGGCGGGAACAAGAGAAGGAAAGTAAAATTTGACGCGCACGTGACAAAACAAGGCCTGAAAAAAGTTCCAAATCTTGACAGTTGGGCGATTAGGGTTGGCAGACGAAAGATAAGGATTTAAGCTGTGAAAGGGTTTCGGGTTTAGAGAGGGCTTAAATCGAGGATCTCGAAACCCTCGAAAGTCAAACCTAAGGTTTTGAGCCCCAGCCAAAATGCCCCCCGAGTCAAAACCTAAGTTTTTGAGTTCGGGGGTTTCGAGATCCGCGCTTTAAGGGCATCAACTCCCATGAAAGACTCTTTAAAAGTTTTCTCAATGAGCCCTCTCAAACTCTGCAGCTGAACCTTAACCCCCCTTGCAAAATGTCCCAAAATTGCCTCGAGCTTCCTACCTTCGGTTAGTTGGGGGTTCCTTAGGAGAAACGAACTACCTGACAACCAATCCCGTCCTCCTACCCAACCAACCTTCCTACCGTTGAACTTCTTGGCACGTGGATTTTAAATCGGTTCTTGAGAATTCTCAAAATCCAACCTACCTACCGTTGAACTTCTTGGCACGCGGGCTTTAAGCGCGCACGTGACGCCATCAAGAACAAACGCTACAGACGGCCACGTCACACAAAGCTACCAAGTCCGCACCTGATGACGTCATTGCGGCCCACCACAGAGAGAGGCTGCCACGCTGGCAGCACGAATCCGTCCACCTGTGAATAAGAGGTAGCAGGGAGGTGGCACACGTGGCATGCTACGGGTTGACACGTGGCCTAGCAGGGAATGACACACGTAGCAGTGGAGCTGGTGTCTTCTGGAGTGGCAACCACGTGGCATTGGCCCTACCCCCTCTCTCTCCCTCCCCCCCCCTTCCCCCTCGCCTTCAGCTGTGATTCGAAAGCTCGTTTTGCACTGACGCAATAAGGTTTAAGAACACAACATCGGTCTCTTAGTGCTTTCATAAAAGCAGACGCGTTAAAATAAGCCGCCTCATTAAAACGAAAGGGTATCGCACCTGTAGGGCCACTCCCGCTTTGCACGAAGCCTTCAGCCCAAACGATTCGACCACGTGGCTCGCCAGCTGGCTGACGGTGGTGATGCCACGTGGCAGCGCGATCAGGCTGTGGCTGAGGCCCTGGGAGAGCTGCGTCCGCGTTAAGAGCGACGGATCGATAACTACACGGCATCGCGTAGGTGGGGGAGGCGAGATCGAATCAAATAAATCGTCTGCCAGAGCCGGGGACTTATACGGCTGTATGTGATCGTCTGCCATAGCCGAGCTCGTCGAGAGAGCTAAGGGACTAATCGCCTAAGTATGTCAGCAACCGCTAAAATTGTCAGTCAGGGGCTAAAGATTCTGATGCCAGGTGTACGCGATATTGAGTTTGCTCCGTGCCAAGGCTGCTTGGCTGCAATAAAGCTCGGATACAGAAAAAATTACTCTTTTGGTAGACGTAAGACCCTGTTCCTGGCGACTCAGGCTCTCCTTGAGTCCATATTTCCAACAAGTTTGAGGGTCCGGCATTGGGGGCTGCTGCCAGTACAAATGGATCTCCAACAACATCCAACACGCAGACTACAGAACGTACCCAGTATTGTGAAGAGTAGGGTATGAGCTGACACTTTGCTTGTCGCTTAGGAAGCTCATCGCGGAAATTTGTCAAATGTGAGCCTGTAGCGCAAAGCGTCCGACGGTTAGGAACTCTGTTCAATCCGTTGAATGCGCCCTCAAAAGTGCGCATCCAACTACATACGGAGAAATTTCCAAGTGCAACTATGAGCGCCTTGTACCGAAACGCAAGTCACTCAATAACGAAGGAATGTATCCTTCAGAGCGGAACCTAAAATCCAGCTCTGTTAGGTATAGTCTGGTGTGGTGTCTTTCCTGATCCCCCGACCTCCCAATTTCTGCTATTCTGCGAACTTCTAGCAGCAACTACTACTAAATTTGTTGGTGAGACGTCTCTCAACTGAAACGCAGTCGCCTCGGTTCGTGATCCCGTTTTCATAACTACTTCACAAACCGTTTCTACTCTTCCCAAGTCTAATGGGATAGCAAGCGGATCATCGTTATTTCACCGGGTACCCTTTTCACGTGTAACCCTAATTTTTTTTTATCTTGCCAGGATTCGCGAGACGTCGCGCGTCATTCTCGAATCTTCGCAATGAACCTTAAAAAGATCCTCCAGGCCGCTTTAGGGGTCGTCATCATCCTCGTTATATTCGTCTTCGTTAGAGAACTCGCCCGCGAAACCGCCGGCGGCCGATCAACCACTTATTCCTCTAATTCTCCCGCCAATACCCCACGTAAAGAGTCCCCGCATGAGATTATAGAGCAACTTAAAGAGCAGGTAGCGGGTCGCGACGCGGAAAACACGGAGATGCAAGATCTGGAACAGGAGATCCAACGGCTGAAACAAGACATCAGGGTTCTATCGAGCGACGGAGGGCTCCCCACCGGAGCGCACTTAACGGCGTCGGATTTAAAGACAGCAGCAGATGTAGGGGTGGATGCGACTGCCATATGCGAGCAGCAGGTATTCCAGTGTAAGAGGCAGCAGCTGGAAGGTCGCTCCCTATTGGCTAGTAACGCCCCCGAGGAAGGCGGCTCCGCTTCCGCGCCAGCGGGGGGCGCGGGGGGTGCGGTTGCGCCCGCGGATGGCGCAGGAGGAGGGGGGGGTTCGGGGGAGGGGGGGGAGCGGCGGACGGGGATTCCAGCGCCGTGCCGCCGGTCTCCCCCGCAGTGGCGGAGCTCCAGCGGAAGCTGGCGGATTTACGGACGGCGTACGATGCGATGATGATTGACAAGCGCAATCTGACGGCTGAGCTCGCTCGGCTGTCCCACAACGGCACGTGCGGACCGTTGGTGAATTTAACCATGGTGGAAGGAGCGGCTCAGGAGTTAGCGTCAGAATGTGCCAGTGCTGCTAGGAAAGAGACGGAAGCTGAAATGCAGATCGTAACTGGGGGAGGCGGGGTTGGGGGTGGGGACGGAGGAGGGGGAGGAGGGGAGGGGGAGAAGGGGGGGGGAGGAGGAGAAAGTGGAAAGAAATTGTCTCCAAATGAGGAGAAACTGGCGACGTTTCGGACGTGTAACGGTTCGGATGCGGAGTTGCAACTGTACATGAACTACACCGCCAGGCGTGCTTGCCCGGACGACTGGCTACTAGCCCAACGGCTCATGTTCGACAAGAACTGCTTCTGCTTGCCCCGGCGCCTCTGCTTCGCTGCTACTCCACCGGATTCTACCGAACCCCACCTGGGCCCACCGGGATCCCTTTTCAGTCAGGAGGTGTTGAGGGACGAGAATGTGCGATGGGCGTTGCACGAGTGCAAGTCGTATGGGTGTGTGAATACGCGGGAGAAAGGGGAGTGCAGGAATTGTTTCAACATGAGTCTGGAGGAGAAGCGGTGGCAGAAGCCGTACCTGGGCACCGTACCTATGGCGCAGGTCTGGCAGCTCAAGCCTCCGGGTTCGCTTCGGATAGGCCTCGACGTGGGTGGAGGTTCGGGGAGTTTTGCAGCCCACATGGCTCGTTACAACGTAACCATCCTTACAACTTCAATGAATAAGGAATTCATTGAGGGTGTAGATGGGGGCCTGCCTTATATGGAGACTATTGCTTTAAGGGGGTTGGTGCCGCTCCACGTCCCACTTAAAGCCCGGCAGCCGTTTTTCGACAACACTCTCGATATAATACACTCGGCTCAAAGCGTCCGTTACTTCTCGGTCTTGGAGCTGGAGGAGCTGATGTTTGAGTGGCACCGGATACTCCGGCCGGGCGGCATTATTTGGATTGAGCTGCTGACGGCGCCGAAAAGCAAGATGAAGCAGTATGTAGTGGTGATTAATATGTTCAAGTATAAGCAGCTGTACTGGGATATATCGCCGGTGGAGGGACCCTAGGAAGAGCAAGAGCCATGAATACTTGAACTGTGTGCTGGAAAAGCCCAGGAGTCGTAGTTGCAATTGTACCGTATTCCTCGTATAAAACACCCTATGGTGTTATAAAAATGCAAGGAAATTTTGGGTTGGGTGTAATTAAAGGCAAAAAAAATACAGCACCCAGGAGTTGTTGAATGTGCATAAGCATTTTTTTATCGGAATTCAACTGTACTTGTGACTAGGCTTTATTCTGAGCACGGAATCCCATTCTTCTGTGTGACCGCGTACCCAACGATTTGGCCCATCTGCATGCCACATCGTCCGCATAAGCAACAGATTCAGGGCTGCATGCTGCTAGAGCAGCCAATTAGCTTGGTCGCAGGCAATACCTCGATGCCTCCAACCCACACTGTGCCAGCACAGCGTAGGGTGGCGGAATCAATGGCAGATTCTGTCGATGCCCTTCTCAGACTGTCCAGAGCACGTAATCGCATCCTCTGGGTGGTCGTGAGGGGCATTTCGTGGGCGACAGGGACGAGGGAGTCGCCCACGTCCCTGCATTCCCCTCCAACCCACTCTTGAATTGGGTCTATCTATCGAAATTGAGAGTTGAATAATAGATAGAAAGAGAGTACACAAGTATATACCTCAGGGTTGTACCCTCTAAGAGACTACCCTATACAGTCTATACAACATGACAAGTACACATGTTGACACACCCCTAGACTGCATAGGGGAATGTCCTAAACAAGCAGCTCAGGGCGGCACTACTAGTCCAACCTCTGGACAAGGGTCTGAGAGACCAGTCAGAAGGAGTACAGACAAGGCAAGAGCAAGAGCAGGGCGGCACTACTAGTCCAGCCACTGGGAGAGGACACAAGTCCAGTCTGAGTATACATATAAAGGACAATACAAAGTCAAGGTCCTAGCAAGTGAGAGGCTACAGGAACTAGACCAAGCTGTACACAGTGCCGCTGATGATCTTTAGGCGCAAGCGCCTTCGTAAAGATATCAGCTGTGTTGGCACCTGAGGCCAAGTGTACTACGCGAGCCTGACGTCGCTGCTGTAGCTCACGCAGGAGGAAGTACCGCAGCTGAATGTGCTTCGCTCTGCCCTCGAGTCGAGGCTCCTGACACAGGAGGATCATGGCCCTGTTGTCAGCGAACAGGACCGGGGCAGAGCTAGGCCGCTCACCTAAGTCAGTGAGCAAGAAGGTCAGCCAGCGGAGCTCCTGTGCCGCCATGGCACCAGCGTAGATCTCAGCCTCACAGCTGGACTGCGCCACAGACGAGGAGCGGGTAGCTCTCCACGAGACGGCACCTGAGCCAAGGCTGAAGCAGTAGCCCTGGGTAGACCTGAGTGTCTCGGCGTCGTCTGCCCACGAAGCGTCGGTGTGTCCAGTAAGGACCACTGGCCTGCGTCCTCCTAGCACTAACCCCATGCCCGATGTACTAGCAAGATAACGCAGAACCCTCTTAGCGGCAGACCAGTGCTGCGGTCGGTGTCTGCCTGTGGCCACAAAACGAGCCAGGATGCTGAGAGGGTATGCGAGATCTGGGCGAGTGCAAGTCATCAGGTACATGAGGCAACCCACCAGCTCTGCGTAGGGGCCGCTGGGCTCTACCAACTCCTCAGACACTGGAGCGGAGAGCCTGTGGTCTACAGGCAGAGGGGTGGGCTGTGCAGAGGAGAACTGAAGGCTGAACCTCTGAAGGACCTGGCGCACCAAGTGTGACTGAGTCAGGGTGATGGTGCGCGCAGCTCTGTCCCTGGAGATCTGCAGGCCAAGGTAACGGCGCAGTTCTCCAAGGTCAGTGCAGGTGTGTCTCTTCAGCAGCTCTGCCTTCACGGAGGCCAGTGCGTCCCTGTCTGCTGTGGCAAAGACCAGGTCGTCGACGTAAACAAGGATGTAGAACGGGGTCTGACCAGCACGAACGAAGAGTGAAGGGTCTGCGGAAGACGGAAAGAACTGCAGGTCAGCAAGCGTAGCACGGAGAGTGTCGTGCCACTCACGGGGAGCCTGGCGCAGGCCGTAGACGGGGCGTCGCAGGAGCCACTGGGTCCCAGGAGGAAGGTGCCAGTAAAGCCCGGAGGGCGACGTAGGTAGACCTGCTCGTGTAGGCTGCCCTGAAGGAAGGCAGTGGAGAAGTCGAGGGAGTGAAGCTCGTAGTCACGCTGAGCAGCTAGGTGTAACAGAACCCGAAGAGTAGTCATCTTCGGGGTCGGAGCGAAGGTCTGGAAGAAGTCCACCCCCTCGCGCTGACTGAAGCCTCTAGCCACATAGCGCGCCTTGAAGACAGGCGGCTCTCCAGGAGGGCGCTTCACCTTGAAGAGCCAGCGGCCATCGACTACGTTCACCCCAGGCGGGGGAACTGCGTCGACGAAGGTGCCGGTGGATCTCCAAGATGCCATCTCCTGCTCCATGGCAGCTATCCACTGCGAGGCCCAGGGTCCCGAGGTCGCCTCAGCGTAAGTGCGAGGGGTCGGGATGTCGAAAGCGTCTGGGTCACCCTCAGGGACTAGCAGCATGGAACAGAGATGGGG